ATATATATATATATATATATATATTATTGAATAGAAAATTAAGCAGGTTTACATATATAGTTTTATAATTAAATAAATAAATCTTACCTCAAAGAGTTGAACCCTAAACATGCGAAGCTCCTCCCGCACCTGAGCTCTTCCTTATGCAAGAGAGCTCTAGCTCGGTTCTCTCCCTTGCAAGCTTCCTGCTCGATAGCGCATGAGCTCGACTCTTCCTCCTCTACAAAGCTTCTTTCTTTCCTCTTCTTCTTTGCTGGTTGATCAAAGCCCTTACCTGCACAAACACAACTCCTTTCTCTAAGCCAAGCTCTGTCCTGCTCGAGGAGTCGACATCGTTCTTTCCACTGCTCGACCCCTACGCCGATACTTCCTCAGGCCTCCTTGTCACAGGCTAGGGCTTCTCCTACACTGTCCTCCACTCCTTCGCATGTTGTTCGACTATCAGGTAAGTTGTTAGGATTTCTTCTACCTTCCGATCTCCCTGTCTCGCAACAATTTATAGGCGAATTGACCTCCTTAGTTTCCTGATCCTTCCACTTCACTCTAATTTCTTTGGCTACCCAACTTCGCTCCTCTTGGCTTCTTCGTTTCCTCTCCCGACTGTTCATTTCCTCTTTCCCGAAGTAGCAGAACAGTTACACTCGAGACGAACATTAATTTTTGGAATACACAATCATCAACTACGCTTACCATCATTCTTTCTCGTGACATAACTATTGTGATCCCCAATGCTATCCTTGATTATTATAATCTAGAGGTGATATATGATTCAAACTGTGTCATTCTCTAGATTCTATGAAAAATCATCCACACTTAATGGATTAAACATTCTAGCTTGTTTTTTAATTTTTTGCTAAGGCGCAAATAATAAAAACTTTCTACATTCTCTCAAATTTATTATGTTCCAAACTAGATGCAATAACTCTCCTAATGACAATGGCATTGTTGACATACCAGGTGCCATAATATGGGCCTGTTCTCTCCTTCAGACAATTACTCTCCTAGCCTACATATTATTTTAAACATAAGTATAATATTTCACTGCTTTTCTATAGGCAGTTCTCTACTACAACAATTTTATTATGTAACATTTTCCGCTTTAAAAAAAAAAAGATATTAATAACTCAAAAATTACATGTTTTATGTATTGAAAGAAGTTGAGTGCCAAGTAATCGAACAAGAATGTTACATTTTTTTACTGTTCCTGCATTAAAGTAGCATGCGCCCGGTAGCAGTTGCTAATCTTATGAGGAGATGAAACTGTAAAGTTTGCAGTTTATTATGAATCGTACGTCTACTATTACACTAAATCTAATCCTTCTTGTGATTTATGTAAGGGAGGCAACTTATAAGATAGAAGAGACAACCACTGTTTAAAGATAAATACTTCAATGTAATTGGGTAAAACTTGCCTACAACCACAGGTGAAGAAAATCATCTATTATATAGATTTTGATAGATAATCCCTTAACATAAACCAATGTTTACCTATATTCCTGTTTTCATACACTCCAGTGAAATATCTCGAGTCTCATGCATCTATCTCAACCACAACCATAATAATACAATGCTGAATATTTAGATAAGCAATCTGTTGACTTGGCCTTTCTTTTAAGTTCAGAAGATTCAAGTCCAGCTTTTAATAACTTAGTAAGTTAATCTTCATTTTACGTCAAATATGTAGTTACCAAAACAGTGGATTGACCCAGTCAGTGTTCCCTACCATGCCCCAAAATACCGTACATACTCACCCCCGCATCACAAAAACTCAAAACATATCCTCAAGTAAAGGCCTGGATGGGTAAGAAGGGGAGGGCAATGCTTACTTGCTGAGAATTATTATACAGATGCAACAAATTGAGAAGCTTAGAAGCATTAATTAAACCTTGATACGCCAAGCTTTTAAAAATATGAAAGCCTCAAAATGCCTATTAAGCTCTGTAAAGCACATAAACCACGATTTCAACAAAGTTCAGTAAAATGTGCATGAGATTGTTATAGAAGATGTGCTAAGATTGTTATGCATTTAGATACTCACGCAAGTGCTCCAAATGTACCAGCAAAAACAACACCACCAGAATTCCGAGCAGCTAAAAGCGCCTAAAGAATATAAACAAGTATTATTCTAATGTACATTTTTTGCTCAAGCAAATTTACATTGGGAACTCAAACGATATGATACCTTGAACTAGTAAATAAATGTACAATTTCATATGCAGTTTTATAAAATAGTGAATCATATAAGAATCAGTAATTTCAAGATTGAATCTAAAAAGTAAGCTTGTTGCATATATATCATTTGTTAATGAAACGTAGAGACAATTTATAAGTTATCTAATTTACAGAAATTGATTGCACTATTCACTTCAGAGATTAAAACTGCGGAAATAAATGAAAAACAATTCTGAACAAACTAATTCTGCAGTTTCATTTCTATAAAAGTATATGAAAGTGACATGCAAGATCATAGGTTCTTCCATGCCAATTTATCACAGAATCAAAATTATTCCATCCTTCTTTAAATAAAAATAGAAATTATGGATACGATACAATTGTTCTACATTAAATTGCATGGAGCTTTGTCAAATTCACAATATCAAGAATTTATGAGCCAACTATAAAATTGCACCTGCATAATGCTTCTAGAAGAAATTATACATATAGATTGTGATTTGGAACTTCAGTAGATAGTATGGATGCCACAAGATCCTTTCAATTAACCTTGCGGTCCTTCCAATTTTCAATCTATATGGATTAGCTTCGCTATACAAAATCCAATTCTACATCCATGCTTAACCAGAGGGTAATCAGCAAGCTTCAACATGTACTTCAAGTTAGAACACATCTTCCATTGACTAAGCAAGCAATCACAACCAAGCCAAAAAACTTAAATTTAACATCCAACCTTAGATTCAAACTAGTTTATGCTCAAAGGAAAAGTCACAAAGGCCTAACAAATTTTCAAGGCAAGATGAAACACCAATCAAAGATCAATATAAATGTTGAAAGAGTTCATGCTAAAGTACAATTCGTTCTTCACATCGATGCACATAAATATTCTAAAAAATCTGCAAAGAAAAACCCTCAGCATAACATCTAGGTTAATTTTGAAGATTCGTACGGCCAACCGGATTGCAATAAACATTATTAATTTTAAGTGTGCACCATATTTTTTAATGGATTTGTTGACCTTCACACTTATCATGCAAATGATTTATTTAAACTCGATGTCAAAGAAAAAGGATGGAAGTATTGCACAAATTTCATTCAAAAAACATCTACCTCCACAAGAATCACTCAAAATGACAACCATTCACAAAATGAATTGAGTCGATGCATTTGGCACATTGCGAGAGCAACCCATATTACTTTATTGAATTAATTCATGTAAATCTTGTCTCCCATCATTCCGCATATGTACGCCTAACCCATATCATGTGTGTGCCTCCATTTTTATCAGTTTAATACTCCGGGCAAAAGAAAAAGGCTGCTTATCCTCTTACTTGCATCAACTTAGGGCAAAATAAAAAAAGACTTTTCTCTCTTCCTCAATCTTGCTCTTATTGTCACAACCCGGTCTGCGGCATGAAATTAATCAAGACAAAAACACACAGTCGGAAGATGGAAATTAAATTTTTCTATATTTATTTTCTATACTAACATTTTAATAATGAAAGAGCCACTGGAAATTAAAATTAAATTAGTTATAAATTTACCTTTGGTTAGGTTGTTTGCGTCTTCTATAAACATTGTCTCGTCTATTGTTCTCCTTTAATCAATAAATTAAACATGAAATGTTAGTTTAACATAACAGTGAGTTAATTAAAGTCAATGATACACACACTCCTAGACTGCAGTAACACATTGAAAAATAAAATAATATGCATTTCAGTTAAACTTTTAAAAAATCAGTATAAAGCATTTCATAGTTTATGAATATGATCACTCATGATTTTCATAATGGTCAATGTATTTTACTATGATGATAATATTTTTATATCATTTTATATCTGTAAAATGGTAACAACTACGCCGTCTAAAAATTATACCAGCTAAGATACTTTAATATCAATATCAAGTTTCATTTTCGTGCAGGGGTACCTTAGTGTTTCCCTGCTAGTATCATAAACGGGTGGCTTTGACATAGTCAAACATATACATACAATCAATCTATGCAGTCCATATCGTTCACAATTTCATATTACTAAATATGTAATATTTATTACTATAATACATGAACCATTACATAATGTGAGACTAAAGTATTTATATCCAAATGACCAATAAAATTTAAGCATAGAGGAATCAATTTAATTAATTAAGCATTAATAACAATTCATGTAACTGGTTCAATAGAGAAAAAAAATGATAATATAGTTTAAAAGTAAGAGTACTTAACTTTAATGTCGCGACTTTTTTATTTTACCTTCCAAACATAACTTCTACAGCTTAAAGCTTGCTTAAATAAATCAATTATTAATATTTTATTACATAATATATATATTAAATTCATTAATTAAAAAAATAAACCCTAACATTTACCTCAATTATCTCAATCTTTTTGCACAAATATTAACCTCTAACTCCCTCTAATTTGAGACTTAACAGCTTCGATCCTGATTTCAAATGCACTTAAATTTAATATTTATATATATGTGTGTGTGTGTGTCGCGTACCCAGGCATGCCGATTGACATCCACAGTATAAGACCCCTCAGGCCAGGGGTTAGAATCCCCTCTGACACAATTGGCCTTAAAGTGGTGGTACTAAAATTGTTAGGCACATTAGAGATGGTTGGAGGCTCGTATAATAGCCTCTAGTCATTCTTTTGAATATATAAATATATATATATATATTTAAATAGGAAAGAAACATAAATGTTGTATGAGATGGTCTAATAGAGGCACCCTACCCATACGATACAACACACACAAACACCCCAAAAGAGAAAAGATACAGGAAACCCAAAAAAACAAAAAAAAAAGATACCAAAATCGCAGAAAAGAAGTAGCTAAGGACGAGCCAGTTTAGTCCTGCCTCTGCCTCTAGTTCTAGGGCGAGATCCAGATAACAAATTGTTGAGTGCCGAGTCATTTCCCGGAGTAACCAAAGTATCATCCATTAGGATCCCAAGCTGACGTTTGTCTCCAATCTTCTTCTTCCTCCTTGAATAGACCTATCATTCATCCTCAGAAGACTGACTCATCTGATCATCGTGTTGGTAAACAGAATGTCGGACAGATAAAAGCTGATGAACACCAGAAGAATGATTGCCAACTGTTGCAACGACTGTAGGTTCAAGTGTGTGTGAAGCATGAAATGTCTCCTCTTCACCTAATGCTTCCCTAATGCTCCTCTTCACCTAATGCTTCCTGCAACTGAGGAGGGTTTGAAAGTGTATGTTGCTCAGCAGGCCATCCAGCTTCTCATCGATCACAGAAATAGTATTTTCAGAAGGAGGATCTATAGGGGCGATTAACTCAGACACCATAACCTATTTTGTGGTAGTTTTCTCTTTAAATAGAACAAATATATCCAAAGCAGTGGGGTCAGATCCATTCTTATCACTTGTCTTTAGATTTCAAATTAAGATGAAGCTTATAACATTTATCAAAGTTGTGCCCAAACATCATACAATGAGAACAATAAGGAGGTTTATGATCCATAATAATTTGTTGCCAATATCCATTGTGAGTTGTGTCCAACTAGACTTCAGTAATATCAGGTAAAGTAATATCTCTCTCAATAAGTATTCTGGCCACAGAAGGTTTGGTTAGGTTAAAAGTGGGTAGATCTAGCTTCAAAGGGTCCCCGAATATGGCACCAATAGAGTAAAGAACCTGATGATGAAAAAAATGCAGCTTGAGATTAAGTAAACTAAACCATACCGGTACAGTAAGAGATTCGCGCTTGGGGTCAAAATCAGGAGGCCACTTGAGTAGCTTCATTGGTTTACCAGCAATGTTCAGATATTTTTTGGAAAAAATCTCACTGTAGTCTTCAGGCACGGTTAGTTGAATTAATACGTGTCTCCCATCTATGAGCCCTACTTTCCACTTTCCTGCTAATTTGAGATTATCAAAACTTTTCCTGATAACATCCATAGGTCGGTGTCCCCACTGAAATTTTCTAATAAGAGCAAACTTGAATTTATCAGTAAGGGATAAAATTTCTAGCTCAGAGAAAAAAAATGTTGTTTTCCCACTTTTCCTGCTTGCAATCTTGATAAAGGGGCAATCACCTTCCCGTTGCTCCTTATAACTTGAAAAGAAGACAATTGTCGTCTCCATCTGAGAATTACCCACCACGTGGATAAAGGAGACTTTGTCAGGTTCAATCATAGACGAAGGAACCTCCATCACAGCAAGAGAAGCCTTGCCAAAGTCGGGCAGTGGCAAAAATAGCGAGCCAAAAGGTCAGAGCGAAAAACTGTAGTTGTCGAACCCGCAGAACAGTCGCAGCTCGACGAGGCAGGTCGCGGAACAGTTGCAGCGAACAAGAGCGAGAGGAACAGGACGAGACAACCTGACGCGGCTCGCAGCTCGACGACCACGCAAAAGCGACGAGACGACAAAGACGAGACAGTCAATCACAGCTCGACGTGGCTCGCAGCTTGACGTCCACAGAAGCAGCGAGACGTGACGACGGCATTGGAGTCGACAATCGCAGGAGAGATTGACGAACCCAGAATTCGTCGTCGAGCAAGATGGTAAAGCTGAAAGATCAAGCAAGGGAATCGCCATTGGACGAAACCCTAGCGGAGCAGCTCAACCTCGCCACCAACGCTATATATATATAAACTTCCCTTTATTTCTTTTACCACATGCATGTTAGAATCTTACATATGAGTCGCCTCCTTCCTTATTCACCTCTTCTCTACTCAATTCTTCTTCTCCTTTTATTTCTTCACATAAAATAAAGACGCACGAAGCTTGTTCTTACATGACGCGGCGCCGCATGTAGGATCATCTTCTCCTTCTCTTCCTCTGCACGTCAGCACGCAGAGCCTCTTCTCCTTTATTAGGGCTCGAGTTCTCTTTTCCTGCATGAACACAATGATGCCTGCAAGCTTTCAGCTTCGGCTCCCAAGCTTGGCTCTTCCCCCTTCACCGGCTTTAGCTTGTTGATGCCTTCATCTATACAAATCGAACACAGAGATCACTCGATTCATTCTTCCCATACTCGTCGTCGACATCTTCACTCTGATGAGAGCACAAACATTTGCCCTAGACGCACGTCAGTCATCTTCCTCCTCCATAGCACTCGAAGTTCCAAATGGACTCGAATCTCGTAAGATAACCATAAGACTTCTCCCGCTACTTCTCCCGCTCTCGATCTCTCTTACTCTCCTTAGCATTTTCTCTAACCATTTAATTTCTTGATACATAAGATATTTATCTTCCTATAAAACATAATATCTATTAGTTTCGCCAGTTTATCTTTAAAAGTGCCTATATCAATTTTAAAAATTTTGCCAAATATATCCTATTGTACTAGTTAGATCCAATGACATACTAGAATAGATTCTAGAATAGCATCTAATAATTTTTGCTGTTTACATGACCTAAACTTTAAATATTTGGAAAGAAATACATAATTATGAACATTTTCTGCTTGTATTTTGCACTTGTATCATTTTAATATTGCAAGAAACCTCTGCTCTTCCTTAATCTATGCTGTCTTTAATTTGCAACCTAGAAATTACAATGGTGCTTAGCATACAATACATTTTACACTTTCATTAAAATCACCATCTAGAAGATAAAATGCAAAAGAAGATGTAAGAAAAAAGGTATAAAAATTAGGAAAAAGGCCGATGTTATTTTAGCCCAACTTGTCTGCGATAAAGTTTGTCAAATTCTTGAGAGCAAGACAGCAACAAAATATACACTTACAGCAATAAAAAAGGTTTTGTCACCTAGCTCAGAAAAAAAGATCAACAAGAAAGCCTGCAAAGAAAATTATTAAGTGTCATCTGTTTGATCAAAACAGTAAAGTTAGCGTCGTGAGTAAAGCGCCATAATATAAGCTGAACAATGAATACAACTAATAAACTAGCAAAGAATGAAACTCTTAATAGGATCATGTTGGAATATAAATCATCAAAAATGTCATATAAAAAGAGAACAAATTATTGACTAAATTTTAAGCAGGTGACATGTAATTTATACAATGGATACCATTCCTCATTATTCACTTTTCTCTCTTATGAGAAAATACTACATTGTTCAAAGAGAGAACCAAACGAGAACCATTAGGGAGTAAGGAACTAGATCAAACATAAGTTGAGCAAAATATATCGGCGGTTAAACTCATTTTTCAACATTAAAGCTAAGCATGAGTAAGTCGCAACCACTCGATATGTAAAACTATTCATTGCAGAACTGAACCCAAAAGTCTCTTATGTCATACAGTCACTCTCACCCGTGGATGACTCAACATCAACCATCACTTCCCCTCAAGCACTTAGCACGCTAAACAACATAAACCCATTATAGGAGTCATCATACCTTAGATTTTGATCAACAAGAAAAGATCAAGACCTATAACAACCAAAATTGCATGAACTATGTGATCCCAACACAACCATCAACTCTAATGTCACATGTTAAGGAGTGAGGAACCAAGGTAGATTAACCTTAAGACATATACTAGCGGACAAACCTATGTTTAATCCAAAAACTTAGGCTATTAAAAAAGGCCTACAACCCCGTATTTGAACAATTCAATAGGGCACTAAATCTTATGTTTGTTGACCTCATTTTTGGTGAGGTATCTTCCTCTTCTTAAAGCCTAGGATCTAGCCTTTAGGGTTTCTTACCAACTCTCTTAGAGAACTAGCCTGGGGCCCACACCAATTAGAAATTCGACCTACTTCTTGACTCTTCGCAGTTTCATGTGACTGGATCTAAAATCTTCAACGCTTAGTTGAGTCAATTAAAACCAGCGCGACGAAACTCAAGTCGAGTACCCTTAGGATCTGAAACCCTAGGAAAACTCATTGTGATCTCCACGCGCTTACAGGATGCACAAATACCACAGTGCACACAACACGCACACAATTATCGAGGTTCAGGTCACCTGCACCAGTAGGAGGCTCTACAATCAATCACAAGTGATTATTTTAAAGGAATTCAAATTTGAAGCGTTTTCGACCCGATCGTCGACAAAGTCGTCCGGATAATCTCGGATGACGAAACGAACCGCGCCGGCGCGTGTAGAACGTCGACTTTAGTTAGAAAGAACTCCCACTTCGATATGATTTTGTGCACGAGCAAGAGGTGCACAATTCGAGAATTTTTTTAAACATTATTTATACCTTGGGTCTTTTATCAAGGGGAAAATCCTTAATTAGTCGCGGTCCTTGCTTGATTCGGTCCCCAATCGAAGCCTAGGCTCCTCTCGCTCGCTGCTCCTCTCGGTTTCATCACCGGGATTTAGCCCTAATCGTGCCTTCCTTCGTGTTGGTCCACTCCCTTCGCATAACGAGGAGTTGACTCTTCCCCTCTCGACGTACTCTGCTTGAAATCTCCTCTTTTCAAAGCTTTATGCTTCCTCTCGCTGCGCGGGAGCCCATTAGGGGTAGGGTGACTGGGTGCGTGTGTTCCCTGGGTCACGAATGGGGGAATTTCTCTTCCTTCTCTATCTTTCTTCACTGTGGCCTCGGCTACAGCATTTCTTTTTCTTTCGGTTGTGTGTTGTGCTTTGTTGAAAGAAGTCCTGCGAGCTTCTCTTTCTCCCGGGGACGGGAAGTCGTAGGGTTACGAAACTTGGAGCGTGGCGAAACTCTGCCGAAAATTCTTCTCGGCTGAAAGCTTTGTACTTGGGGTTTTGAAAGGGCTTTTGCTTTCTTTTGTCGCTTGGAAGAGGTCCAGGCCAGGTATTTTCTCTTCTTCTCTACTCCCTCTGCTCGACAGAAGCTGTGTAGTTTTCTCCTTTACTCGACAGGGAATACATGCATGCGAGATTTTAATGGTTTCGGTTGATATATCATGCTTAAATCGTTGTTGGTTGTTGGACCTTTAGCTAGCTGAAGTCGTTAACATTTTCTGTTGGCTTTAGTTGGTACGCTTCATGCTGTTAGTGGAGGTTGTAGTTTATGGAATGCATGTTTTAATTCCTATACATGTGCAAGCCTTCTCCTTCAGCTTCTATTTTTTTTGTACCTGTATGTTGAAGGCTGCGGTCTCCTCTCTTTTCTCCTTACTGAGTTGATTTAGTATTGAAGGGAAAGTTGCCTATGTTAGGGGGGGTGGGCTTGCTTGTGTTTCTCTGTTTCCTGTTACTTAACCTTTTCAAAATGTATGCTGAAGGAAATTTTTAGTTTTGAGAGCTCATCTTTGTTTCCCTGCTCCTTATTACTCTCCAATTCGAAATACATGTTGGATGGAGAATTAGTCTTTTAAAGCTTTTGGGACTTTTTTTTATGCCTCGGTTTTATTTCCTAGCTGCCCCCCCCCCCCCCCCCCACACCTCCCCATCTCCGCTCGTGCACGAACGTTATTTTTGAAAGCACCTGGAACTTGTTTTAGTGGCTCGGTTTTGCTCCTTTTATTGTTCCTGTTTGAATACATGCTGGAATCTGTTTTGTGTTTTGAGTAGTTGGTTTTGGGGCTTAGTTTTATTTCCTGTTATCCCCCCCTGTGGCTGCCTTCTCTGTTCGAATATTTGTGCAGCTGGCATTCGCTTTTCTGATGCTTTTTAGAGCTTGTTGTAGGGGCTTGGTTTTATTCATTGTTGATGCCCGTCTATTCAAACCATATGTTGGATGAAATGTTGTTTTTTTTTTTTTTTTTGAGCTTTTGAAAAAGTTTGTTTTAGGGGATTTTGCTTTGTTCTTCGCTGCTCCTCACTCATTTGAGACACCTGCAGTTGGTGATGTTTGATTATCAAACTCTTATAAGCCTTGTTTTGGGGACTTGTGTTGCTCCTCTTGGCCGTGAGCCTTCCTGTTTGTGGTTCTCTTTGTATTGGAACTGGTGGCTTCCCCCTTTGGCTGCTTCTACCCGTGAGCTTGTGGTTGTTGATTTGGGTTTGGTGGCTCCTCTTGCTGCTCTTACCCGAGAGCCCTTTGTTTGTGTCTATTGGTTCCTTTGTGCAGGTTCCTTTGTGCACCTGTTGGTAGTTCCCACGTTTGTGCTGGGTTTGTTAGCTCCCCTGCTGCCCCTGGCCGTGAGCACCTGTTTGGCTTTCCTTTGTGTTGTGTTGGGTTTGTACGTCACTGGATCTGTTGGTTTCATGTGGAATTGAGTGCTTTAACCCTTCTGAATTGAAATATTTTAATTCTTATGTTTGGAGGACTTATGTTTGGAAGAATTCAGATGTTTCTTTTCGATGAACGATCTATTGAATGTTGGAAGATTCTTTGATGTTGTGTTGGACTCATACCTCATGAATGCTTTAATGTTGGTGAAACGGAATGCTTTAATCCTTATGCTTAGACGAATTCAAATGTTCCTTTTCAAGGAATGATCTATTAAATGTTGGGAGAGAATTCAGGGCTCAACTCTCGAGGCCGAATTGATTTCAATAAAAAAAGAGAAAAAAAAAAGAGAGAAAGGAGAAAAAAAATGGGAGAGTTTCTTTTGACATTTTGGGTAAGGCTTGGTGACAGCCCGGAAATCTCTATAATAGGTCTTTTAATGTGTGTCGGAGTTAGCAACTGGGGAGTGTGCCCATCTCATTGCTCATTTGAGAAGTCCCGCCAGTTGGATGTTTTAGGTTAATCCTCCTACCACTTTGACTTTTCCTTCTAAATTGTCTTTGGAGGCGGGTTGGTCTTCTTTTGCATTTCTTATTTTTTGGTTCATTTTTCCTTGCTTCATGGTTTGAGTTTCAGGTGCTTATGTTCGAAACATAAGTGCATTCATATAGCTATGGCTATATGTGAAATCATCGAGCAAGGTCGTAAGTTGGACGGTCGTTTTTGGGTATTAGGCCTTGATGATAAAGACATTCGGTGGTAGAGCAGAATAATGTTCCATCTTACAACATCAGGACCCAATTCCAGAATCCGACACTAGACTAGCAGGGCACCCTTGCCTTTTTAGGTTGTTGGTGGCCCTAGCCCCAGCGGTGCAATTGACTTGTAGATAATCATATTTTCAATAAAAAAATGATAAGAGCAGATACGATAAGAATAGATACGCTACTTTCAAAATATTTTGACTACCAAAAATTGATACTACTTTTCTTCTTGCATGAAACCCACATATGCATGCCAAAATATAAATTTTAAATAACAAAATTTGATTGTCCATCTGTCAATCGTCGGTATTGGGCTAAGGAGTATCCACCGGAGTTGATATAGTAAAACAACTTTCTAGTTGAATGTAGGGCTCTATACATACGGGTGACCAATAGTTGCCTTCGGAGTCCCTCGAGAATACCTGATTCTGAGTCTAGCCCGACCCGAATGCTTACGGCTTTCTTTCTTTCTTCGGATTTTTGGGTGTTTTTCTAAGTTTTTTTTTTATCGAAATTGGATCTTTATGTGTTTTCTTACGGTTTTATCGAAATCTTTGTAAAGCACTTGTGATTTCCTTTCCTCGGATTTTCCTCGTGTTTTTTGACGGTTTTCTTCGAGTTACTTTGGGGCATCTGCCGCCTTTTCTCGAGTTCTTTCAGGAGCTGCCAACCTGTCAGGTATACAGGTTTGTTTCACGTTTACAGCGTTTACTTTTGCTACTGCACCCTTTCCGGTGTATACGCATAATTCATTCCTGTAATATTATTGTTTATTGTTTACTGTGTCACATTGCATGTTCCCTTTTATAACTCATGTTGTTTCTACAGACTTGCAAAGGACTTTTAGGTTAGAGGCCAGTAGGACACCCGGTTTAGGAGGTACCCTATAGTGAGCCACTGACCCAACAACTGTACATTTATACACACCACAACCCTGAGCCTCTAATTGATCTGTTAGGAGCTTAGAGTAGTCTTCCCAGGAAGCAGGACGTGAAAGCAAGCGGACGGAGGGCAACGATCGAGACCACAACGACGAGGCGTAGGATATCTCCTTAGAGTTAAGGTTCAACCGTAGGATAGTTAGGAAGTCACCGGGGTTCTCCCTAGATCTGTGACATCCCCTACATTTCACTCCATTGACTCCTGAAAAAATAATTGTTAATATTTTGAGCCCTTTCTCCCTTTGATTTCCTCATATTTATCATTGAAAACCTAAATTTTACAATCTTGAAGACAAAATCACTGATCTTAATCGAGAGTCTTCTTAAGTAACTTCGTTCATTTAAAATGTAATTAACTATAAGAGTTTGACTCTATAAGGAACTTAAGAACTCAGTTTAAAATAAACTTTATTTCATATTTAATCTCCCGTATTAAATATGGGAACTTGTCGGTCAACATAAATGTTCGCAAACTAAAACGGATGTCATTAAATCTTTAGTTTATTTAATCGAGTCGCGCTAGCAAGTAATATGTATATTCTTCTGGATAGATGTATCACTTGCGGTGTTGTGCTCGATCATTTAAACTATTGCAGATATGAGATCGGTTCGGTCTTGTATTTCAAAAAATTAAAATATTACTTTTTTTCAAATTAAATATATAAATTAAATTAAACATCTTTTAAAATCGGGCGTTGGGATATCCATTTTGGCGGCCTATAATTTCTAATTTGGCGACCGACAATGCTCTCATGGGCCTTACAATGAAAATAAGTCAAACCAAAATCTAAGCCTGTGGAATGTACAGCCCCAAACACACCACAAAAGGAATGGTAGATTATCACTATTTTAATTATTTAAACTAGATGAAAGCATGACAAACTGCTATTCAATGTCATCACCATCATTAGCCTTGGCACAACTATTTGGAGCCAACACTTGGAACCTTAAATTTAGAGGTGGAGGCCATTTGGGATCACTTTTATCTCTTGTTTTTTTTTTTTTATTATTCATGTTTTACTTTGAAATAAAACATATTTCTTAGTAGTGGTTATTTTTTAAAACACTCAAAACATTAAAACATTGTTTTGAGTATTGTTAAAAAGAAGATTAATTCAATTTTAAAAATAAAAAATAAAATGCTAAAAATACACCTGATTAACATTTTCTCAAAATAAAAAAAAATAAAAATAAAAATGATCCCTAATAAACCCTTTGTAAGCAGGAACTAAATTTTTACTGCAGCAAGCTATATCCAAAATAAAACAGCGACCGAATGTTATCTGCTATGTTCAAGTTCCCAATATGATTATAATCTACTAGAACATCTCAATTGTAGCAGCAAAATTAAACGCAGTAATAAGTGTATTTAAAACTACAGTTGTTAACTTTAAAAATTACTAGTAAAAAGCCTAAATTAATTAAAAAAATACTCCCAATAGTCATATGAAAGAGCAAAAAATAATTTTAACAATTTTCTACCAAGAAAATGTTCTTTAGAGGGCATGAATTTTATCAAAATAAAAAAAAAAAAAAGAATATGGAACAGCAGTCATGACTTCTTTAAGCAAGTAAATTACAACAAAGTACCAAGGAAGCTTTCCTAACTGAAGCAAAACCTGTATTAATATCACCCAGATCCTCAAAGAAGGAAAGAGACGGCAATCCGTGACTAAATTCTGGGGCAGCAATCGCCTGCTGATATGCTTGAAAAGTGAGGATACCAATAAGGAGTGCCATTTTTGATCCAGCATGAAATTTAGGGAATGAAACCATATGATGCCTCTCTATGATTTGTTGAATTTCATCAATCAAGTATCCAACTTTATTCTCCTCCAGATTCAAAAATTCAGACTTTTTAATGCATCTAAACTTCTGCAGAATTGCAAAAACAAACAATCTAAACGCCAAGATTTTTGGGAGATAATTTATAAAAGTGAAAAGTGGAAAATTTTATAGTAGCCTACGGTCAGTACAAAATCAAACTATAGAATTTCATTTCTCTAGATCATATTTAAGCAACCAAAGATAATTAATAGTAGTTTTGAAGAACTGTATTAGATTTTTGGCCTCATATTTTACGGCCAACCATAAAGTCCACTACTGAAAATATAAAAACTAGCCTTAAAAGCAACCATCAGGCATCAGGTAAAGGAGGAAAGAAGTAAATTATTTGTTATAAAATAGTTTCACTTAGTTTCTTTAATATAAGAAGCTTCTGTAATATTCTACAAAATTGTAAGGCCTATTTTATACCAAAAATATCATGCTAATTATTTGAAGTCACCAGATAGATGTGTTGGATAATTTCATGGCAGTTTCTATAAGTTAAATGGACCAAAGTGCAGACACTGAAAGAAGGGATCAGATTAACCAATTTTTGAGAAATGATGGAACAATGTGCCGATAAAAAAGTAGTTTTGATTGATATTAGATGGAAGGCAATCAAACAAAGCATAAAAATGGTTGCCATAATAGTTGTCGCCTTCTCCTCATGTTAGAAAATTTCATGATGCTGCTCTTAAAACAGTAATCTTAAATGCTAAATGAAACAGACTGAACCGTTTGTGGAAATCCTACTTCATCACATTTGTAGTAATCAAAAAGGTCAAATTTATCTGGTTTAGCAAAGTAAGGGGCATTTACATACATACCACACAATTCTTATGTTTTTACATATCTAACACCTAAACATTCATATTTACATGCATACATTCATATTTACATATTTACATGCATACCACTCAAATTTTCAACTTCTCACCAAAAATACCACCATCACTATCTTCCTAAAGTGAATAACACGCAATTCTTATCTGGTTTAGCAAAGTAAGGGGCATTTACATACATACCACACAATTCTTATGTATTTACATATCTAACACCTAAACATTCATATTTACATGCATACCACTCAAATTTTCAACATCTCACCAAAAATACCACCATCACTATCTTCCTAAAGTGAATACACCTTTTCAATTATAATTTTATGACACCAAAGTGCTATAAATGTAAATATCAAATTTTGGGTGTTAGATATGTAAATACATAAGAATTGCCATGCATGTAAATTTCCCTTACTTTAAAATATGGGATCTACTCTCTAGAGAATAACCTTAATGATAAGTATAACAAAATAAAGCTGGCTTCATTCTTCCAGAGACAAGCATCTAATTCACAAAAATTCGCATATAATAACACTTTTCTATAACGCAAAGAATAGAAGCCACAAAAACTAATACGCTAGGCAGAAGTCTCTTAAAAAGTTTAAAAGTACAAAAAATGAATCAAAAGCAAAAAAAAATGTTCAAAACTACTAGAAACCACATAACATGAGATTAGAAAGGTACCATATCACGCTTCTCTCCGTGAATGTGCCCTGATGACGGAATCTCTTCCTTCATATGTTTAATACTTTGTACTGAAAACCTGAAAATTCATCATTTGCCCAACAATATTATAGAAAATTTTTAGCAATCCATTTCATTGAATTACTTTAAAATAAAAAAAGTTTAGCTTAATTTTTTATACTTGATTGTGGGAGAAATGAGAATACTTTATTTTTGATTGCCTTCTACTAAGGATGGATCTGATAGGACCTACATTTATTAATTTGTAACGCCCAAAATTTTAAATCTTTACAAGTCATGGAGAAATTTTGGGTTAGGATACGGATCTAAATTTATTCCTTCACATGCATGAGATTTCAAGGAGATGGTTTTATGGATAAGAAGCAATTTATTTAAAAAGATTTTGGATAATTTTAGGTTCAAAAGACATTTATAATTTTGTTGTTATAGATAAACTTCAATCTAATTTTTGTTTTGAATTCTCACAAACAAATCATTATAAATAAAAGATCAAAAGGAGTCAATTTGCACTAGATATTTTGAGCCCTAATTTTTCTGCCAGCGAGAGTGAGAGAGAGAGTGTGTGTGTGTATAAAGACCAGGCCCAAGATTTGGCATTAACCAAAATGGGAATAAAAGATTAGATGGTGAAATCAAATTTTTCGATTTGTATTTTCTATCACTATTATTTAATGATCCAAAAAGTAAAAAAAAAGTCATTACTGCTGAGAGATAAAATTAGAGCAATTATAAATTTACCTTAAGTCAGTGATACCAGAATTAACCCAAATACCAACGAAAAATGCAAATTTTATTACTGAAATCAAATAAATATTACAGCTATGCAACTGAATCAGGAAATAACAATACACACAACACAACACGCAACTAGAGTGAATCTCAGGTGGTGATTGTCGTTAGGAGGTTTGGAGACATAGCAACAAGGTAGGGAAGAGGCTTCCGAGCTGTGGATGAAGGCGGCAGCCATTATGGATTGCTTGAACAGCAGTACAGTAAGTGAAGGCAGCCCAAATAGTAGCAGTTTGTTGTTTGGGAGTAGAACAACGAGGGAGAAGGGGGAAAGGGGCGGCAATAGCAATGTGGAAAAGCGGGACGACTGGTGAGTATAAGGTAGATGGGCTAGAAGGTTGGTAGGTGGTTTAGAAAGGCAATAAGGAGGTATGGGGGCAGCAGGAAATAGCAAAAGTGTTGTCTTTGGGGGTGATTGCAGTAGTTATGGCGACGGTAACAACGAAGGAGAGGTTGTCGAGGATGGGAAATTTGCAGATCAATACCACCTCAAGAGCGAGATAAAATTGGAATGCCATTTAACCTTTGGAGGATAATCAATACCTCGGAACAAGGTACAGCAAGAGCACCACTCACCCTTGGATACAGCCCTAGACAGGAAAGACAAGCAACACCAGCAGCTGTCGTAATAGAAAACACAATCAAAACTGAAAGCCTAAATTATAGGAATCAAGATTATAGTAATAGGATAACTAGGAGTGGGTCCCTCTACTTGAAAGAGGCGGTACTCACTTGGAAGAGCAAGCTAGTTCTTACGGACATTGGACCGGACCATTTGGATGCGCCCCAACACTCGTGATAACACATCATTGCGGAAGATGCTCAAGCATCAATCAAGTAGTCAGCGTTTTCTATAGATATTCCCTTCTCTATTAAACATCTTCTAATCAAAATTATTAAACATGAAATGTTAATTTAAAATAAAATGAGTTACAACAACTAGCCAATACTCCCATTTCTAAATTATAATAATAAAAATAAAAATAAAATACTATGCATGACAGTTAAACTTTTAATAAATTAGTTAAAGAGCATTTGACAATTTATATTTATGAATATGATTGATCAAAATATTTCAAAACATTTAGCCCTTGATATAATTATTTAAATATAGTGAAGACTTCAAACAAATATTTAAATAAACACACCCAAATTAACTTGTAGTCATCAATAGAAAACCAAAAAAATGAAAATCCAAATAGAAGGACAGAACTTTTGACTCCATATATTTTAATGGACCAAGTCAAACTAAGCACTCACTTGAGAAGTATTAAACGAAAAGGAAGTGGCATGATGAATTTTACCATATTCACAGGCTTCATACTCAAATTCAAAAATAAAAAAGAAAGATAAGTGAAGCCCCTAAGATGATGTTGGTGACCAAGACAGATATTCCACTAGTAAAACAAAATAGTGGGGAATAGATCAATGGCTCGTATTATGATCATGAAACACATATTTCCAATGGAAAAAGTTTATTGATTAGTTATGGGACTTGGTAAAGCAATTTATAGATAGCAGGTTTGTAGGAACAATACTAATCTATCATGAAATGTGAAAAAATCATTTTGAGATGAGCCCCACTGATCATTATGCCCATAGCTAACAGACACAGAAAAACATCACCAAACTTTATATCAGTCATGTTCGCATATATTGCTTTAACCATATAATAGTAATTACCTATCTATTGTTCTCACTTCTTCAAAGCCATACAATCTCTTGTGATGTGCACTACCAGCAATAGAATTTTTTTTTTTTTCCCTTAACAATAGATTTGCCTTTTAACAATAGATTTGCCTTTAGAGGTAGACCTTTTCTCCATAGGTCTTTCCCTCCTGAACAATCCCTAGCCCTATTTTTGTCCACCAACACACTAAAGCTTAAAAATTACATCACGAGATAAATGAAAAACATCTTCTAAGCATAAGATATTTCTTCGATACAATATGGTATTACAAAAAAGTTTATAAGAGATGATTCTCACCATCCACAATCACATCAATATTCCTGATAATATTAATAATAAACTAAATCCATTCACAAATGATTATAAGTTTCCATACACTTTGGCATTTTTAATAAATAAATCTGGACTTGAAGTCACGATAGGCTAACTAATGGCTTGTACTAGGCCGCTAATACTCGACTATTTGTACCCGATGGTTGGTACTCGGCCACTCGTACTTGGCTATACATACTCGGCAAGTCAATTGAGCTGGGGAATTTGGTAGCCATCCTTAGTACGCCATCTGACTCTTAAGCCATAATTTGGTGAGGTAGCATTCTCCTATACATAAAGAATATTCAGATCCTGAGTCAAGCCTGCAAATGGCTAATGCAAAAACAAGGTCTCTATGAATTAGACATTGAATTCTGGATAATGAAGCATTTAGTCACCTTAATACTTCACAAATATAAAAAATCCTGCATCTGTAGATATAATAACACAAAACTAAACAAAAAAATATTTAATTGATAGCATTTTCGTCTAATAAAACTGACATCTGTCTGAACCAATCAGTCCTTTAGTCCTCCTTGTAGGATTTTCTTATAAAAATCGCTTTATTTTCCAAATTTTATTGTTGCACACGAACATCGAACTAGTTCCATCGAATCGAAGTATTCATATTCTTAAGATAGCCCGGTCAAGATACAGCGGGCTTTGCCTTTTAGAAACTTCCAAGTTATAAGAAAATTGTAAATCATTCTTACGCTCAAACATTTCAGGACAAACAAGTATACTGCCGTGCCTCCAGCTACACTCCCATACACAAGGAATCAAAAAGAGCTAGCCACAAACTCTTCAGGCATTTCCCTTTGATTTCACTTCCCTGAAACCGAACACGACCCTCAGGGCTACCATTACCAGGATTGATGATCCCAAAAACAAGCAAGAAACAACTACAGTTCACCGCTTACTAAGGACTAGAAGGCTTTGTTTAGATATCAGTAAAATAATGAAAATAAAATTAGGAACAAGTAATCTAGGGATTAATTATGAATCAGCGACGAATGGTTTGAGATTTTCAGCTCTTTCTTTGTTTCCTTCCACAAAGTTCACAGCATCAAACAAAGACTCGGGAAGAACACTTACTTGAATGAATTACAGCCAGAGCGCCACTTCGAGGCCGAGGAAGACGTAAACTCAAAGCTCGGCGGCTTCCATAACTTCATATGACTGAATGACGAGGGAAATTGTCCCGTTAAGGCCTCGCATAGACATAGGGTTTTCATCTCTCTTCCAGCCCTTGCTCCCGCAGGAAGAAGAGAAACGTAATAGAGAAAAAACGACGTCGAAGGTTTCCCAGCCTCTCCCTTGCGATTGCACGATAAGCTTTGTTTTACGAAATTTTCAGTGCGTGGTAAATCGAACCGGACATTAAACCGCGAACAGAACAAAGATTTAACGGTCCATTATTTTGATGCTCCAGTTAAAATAAATATTCAAATTATTTTAAAGTAATTTTTTTAATAATATTATTTTTTATTATGTTACATAAAATATTTTAATGAAGAATACTTTACTCACAAATATTTTGAATAATATTTCAAATCAAAGTTTTTAGGCATTATATATCTCCATTTTCAATTTAAATTTTCTGTTTCAAGTCTTTTAATCAAAATAAAAAATTAAAATTGATTCATATTGAAATAATTAGTTGTTAAAAAAATTAAACCAATTCAATGATTTAAACTCTGGTTCTAAGGGATGACATCCTAATTTCGTGAAGAAATAATTTCGAGTCTGAATCGAATCAATAAAAATAATTTATTGTTGAATCCATGAGGGCAATAAATTATATTCAACTTTTAAAATCATGGACGACATTCCAAAAATTTTTTTGCCAATTCTAAATGTTATATATTAATAAATTTAATATTTAACTATCTACATTTATAATGGGTTTCAAAACTTATAATGCAACTTAATTTTTAGGTTTTGCATTCACTAGGTTCTCAAATAATTTATCATGACACTCAAATATCAAAGGTTATTACTTTATAGTTTTAAAATTGTTTGGTGCATGCTAGAGAATTTGCGGTGATAGAGTAAGGAATTGTCGTCATAGTATTGTATGTGAATTCAGCCCACATTTAGATAAAAGTGACAGAAACACCAAAAGTTTTTACTTGGAAAATTTGGAAAGAGAAAAAATCTCGGGGTCTAGCCCTGTGAGAACAATCTACTATGAATCAAAGAAGACACGTACAAGTTCTTATCCCATAAGTGGAAAAGAATTACACAATTTCTCGAAGTATAATGTTTGTTGCTCAAGGACCGAGAATGATTGCAACCAGAGTAGTTGCCCATACTCAATACACTGCCTTCAAGGTATGTCGTTGTATAATGTTCAGGGCAAGGTACCGCTCCGTTGGGTCATCAGACAAAGTAGTTGCCCATACTCAATTCAATTGTTCTTGCTTATGAACACCAAATGATAGTGTATCAGGATACTCAAAAGATGGAAACACAATGTGTCATTTCCTTTGGTCAAAACTCCAAGCCAATCAAGTGGAAGCAAAATTGAACGAATAAATAGAAGGAGCCCAATCTGAGGGATAGCCGTTCATAATCAGCTTCCTCAACCAATTCTAGAACTCCTCATAAAATGGCCAAATGGCCTCTCTTTCTGATCTTCTGAGAATGCTCTTTGTCCAAGAAAAGCTCCCCATCAGATCATGTTGGTACATTTGTCTGATGACCCAAGTTTGCCCTAACAACAAGAGGGTTTTCCCTCAAAATTCTCTCGATGGGGCAGACCGACAACCATTCAGGTGACCAAATGTTTGCATGCTGACCAAATGCTTTCAACTAAATCAACTATAAGGTTACCAGGTCATCAGATGTCCCTCTACAAGAAATTACAAATACAAAATGCAAGGTGCCGAAGTCGATTATGAATATGAAAATATGACATAATATCTTGTAACACCCCCATTAAAATAGGAACAAACATGTAAATTTACACTAGATACCTCTGAAATCCATAAATATGTGGTTATTTCTAGAATAAGAAATGACTGAAGTTACTCTATCAAAAGTCGTGTTAATGTGAACACACGCACACACTCTCTCTCTCTCTTAATCTCCTTCTCTCTTTTTCACTCTGTACTACACTCTTTACTTTGGGTGTGTCTAGATTCAACATTCTCATTTATAGTCAATTGGACTAAACAAAAAAAAGACTAAATCAACTTTATATATAATTTTAAAATGATAAATTATAAATTCAAAAACACTAAGATTTTATATCACTTGAATAATTAAAAAAAATACAGTGTTAATCAAGATTTTAATGTTCAAACTATAAATAATAGGCAAAATGAATATACAGGTAGAAATACTCTACTAATATTTTTTTTATAATCGATCAATAAATGTTCATAAAAAAATCTTCTAATTTTACATTGGACTTGCTCCACCAATTACGGGCAAGCTGCTGATTAAAAAAAAAATTGAAAGCCATGCCATTGTAGGCAACTTTTATTTATTATTTTTTTTTGTGAAAATTTGCTTTTAAAGTATATGCTCTTAGTAAATGTCAGAGATAGTGGTTGCTTCGTTCCCTAAAAAAATTATATGAAATAATATATGGCTTCATGACCTTTTGTAATAAATCATGAGCATGTTTTTGTTTTTTTACTAAAATATAGATCTATGGGTGTGGTGTGAATTTGGATTCCAAGAAAGAATGAGAAGGCTCCAAATTGTTTCATATGGAAGGTTTTGTGAAGGTTTTCATGTAAACAAAAATGTATATGGGGTTATTTTTAGTGATTAGAATGTCACATACATAAATGAAGAGGTAGACACATACCTTTTATTTATTGGCTTCATATGAGCAATGAAGGATTAACTATGAATTGGTTTGGAACACAATTTGCATAAGATAACCTGATAGGGTAGAAACCCGTTGAAAATATTCTTATTCAAGTCTATTGATTACCATTTTAAGGGCAAACATATAATTAGAAAGATTGGTATCACATAAACTAGATGTTTGTTACATGCAAAATATGCCTTGGAGGTGGTGATGAAGGAATGTGTTGGACACATTAAGTTGGAGAATTTGGTAGTTGCCATGAAGAGCATTGGTTAAAAGTATGCAAATGGGTAACATTTTTGCGACAGGGCTGAATGTGTTTATGCAAAATACATATACTATACTTTTATAGTTATAATTGAGTGACTAGTTGAGCATTATGGGGGGTAGAGCATCATCAACATTGAGTTTAGCATTATATTTCCATGTGTATCCAAGGGTCTGTTAATTGGGTGAAGAATGAACAAGGACCTTTGTACATTGTTGTCATAGGGCATCAAAATCTTAACACATAGCCTTCTACAAATAATAATGCTTAACAATTTTCATGTAATAGTTTGGATCAGCTAGAGGGGATAGAGTTTCAGAGAGCTTGTAGATGGACTTAGATTTTTGAGATTACGTATTAGATAAAGTCATTATGTGGTTTGTACTGAGTTGACCTGGGGGTTGTAACTACATGGAGAGTTAAGTATGTTATTTCATGGAATGATTTGGGATGGAGAGCTTGATTAAGTGGGTATATGATATTAGTGTTGATACATTGGATTTATTATAATAGAAGATCATAATTGAGAGGTAGAAATGTTGGATGAGGGAGAAGGAGAAACAATGGGATTGAAATTATAGAACTTGGAGTTATGTATTAGGTTAAAGGCAGTTCATAGTGAATGTCACTTCATTGAAGATAATATGGTAGGAGAGAAGAAAATTTTGATGGTCCATGTTGAATATTAAAAATTTAATTAATGGGGAGATTATGTGCCCCCTCCCATTTTTTCGCACGCTTCAGCAGGCTTGCATCACATGGGGGACAATGTTACATGTTAATGTGTGTTTATTCCAAATTATATTACCGTATGATAGTACTTGGGAAATGTATTTTTGGCATATTGTGCTAGTTACAGGGTTTAAGCCATTTGAAGAAGAAAAAGAGACAAGTTTGAAGCAAAAAAAAGGATAAAAATGGAACCGACACACTCACGCCAATGATGTAGCACACTTGTGTCCGACCATCACAATGGAGAGCTTCTGCATCTGGGTCATATGAAGCTAGCTTGCGTGATAGAGTGGGTGGAGTACCCATCTCGTTATCAAGGAGGGCACCCGTGTCAAACTTAACGCACTCACGCCACCTACTCCGTACCCCTACACCCTATACCAAGCCAAGGAGCAGTGCACGCGTGCCCAACATATGGGTCACCAATGTTGTCCTTAAACTAGACTCAATGCGTTCGAATCAAGCATAGGCACATTGAGTACACAAATTTTAAATATTGGAAGATTTCTTGCCTTCTCTGAAGCTTTGGTTATAAATATGCTTCTTGGAATGATGGGAGGCATCTGGAGATGGTTGGAGGCTAGGTTTTCTTAGGAAGAAGAATTCCTTTGAGTGCCCTAGAGTTTTATCTCTTCCTTCTGGAAGGGAGAAATCCATTCAGGTGTTTTCCTTTGTGTTTTATTTGTGTTTTTGAAGGGAGTTTGTGAGAGAGGGATTATGGCTAGTGACAGAGATTATTCCTGGAGTGTATTCATTGTACGGTGAGGATCTCCTCTTTTAGAAAGAGGGAAAATCATAGTAAGTTTTTTATTTTCATTTATATGCTGATTATTAATTATTTCAATTACTCTCTTATGGTTTTTTTCTCGCTTGTCTTGTATTTAAATTTTGTTCGTGCTTTTGTAATGTAAGGATAGTAATTTTCATGATTTTCCAGCATGTTATTTCCCCATAATATTTTTCTTGTTTATCATGCATGCATGTTGTTGGGTAAACTTTCTAAATTTTGTTTGCTCCTAATCTAAATCGTTACGAAGTTAAAAACTTCCATGCTCTAGGAATTTTGACTGTTTTTTAGTGCAACAAATAAGTTAACTCACAAAAACAAAATAAAATAGGCATGTTGGCATTAAGATTTTACAACCTGGATAGGGAATCTAAAGAATCACGAGAAAAGTTGCATGGTTAATCCCACTTTAACTATAATATGGTTTTTTATTCTTTGTTTGACCTAGTCATATGTAAGAGAAGCTATTATTTTTCTTTGACAACTATCATGTAGATGACTTACTAAGAAAACTATAAAAACACACTACACTTGAATCGCAAAAGCACGATCCTCCTACTTTCTGAAGTACACTCCATTAACTTAATGCTTCTAGTGTTTCTCGATCTTTTTTTTTTTTTGATTTCCTTAATGTTTTGTTTAGGATTGAAGGATTTATTTTTGCATTTGTGATCACATGATTTCCTTAATGTTTTGTTTAGATGTTTTGTTTAGGATTGAAGGATTTATTTT